TGTTGATTTTTTTGTGGGACAGAGTGGTGTGTGTGTGTGTGTGTGTGTGTGTGTGTGTGTGTGTGTGTGTGTGTGTGTGTGTGTTGGGGTAGGGGGATCTCCAGTCTTGCAGGAAGCTTCGACAGAGGCTCCCTACAAAGCATAAGATAAGGAGCCCAGGAAGTCAGGCCAGCAGCAGAGGCAAGTACAGCTGCAGCACGACCTGCTGGGGACCAAGTGTCCAAACACATGAGACTGTGGGGGACATCCCACTTCCAAATCATTGCATAGGGTAACGATCATGTCTGCCTGGGCTGGGGGAGTTGTTTGGCTCCTATGAGACGACACTTGGAACTTGTTGCTTGGAAATCACTTAATTCATTTAGCAAATCACACAGTCACTGGAAAGCAGGCCTTGTGGAGAGCCTGATACCAGACTGAAGGGTGGTTGTAGGTCATCTCTAGACTTCTAATTAACAGATTAAAACATAGAGTGGAGGAGTGGGCTCCTTTTAAAATCATCCTCCAACCCTTCTGGAAAGAGGCAGAGTTTCCTTTTGCTCTTAGTCAATCTTGAAAATATCCGTAACACTTGGAGCATCCAAGTCCAAGTAAGGCAGACGCAGGCCACAGATGTGCAGAGGTGGGATTCCACAGCGTTGCTCTGTTTACATGGAATTTATTTTTATAGTCCAATTCTACTGAGGGCAAACAGCACCAGTGTTCCATTTCAGGAGGCGATAAAAAGTTCCTTAAACAATTAATTCATTTAAGTGAAAAAAAATTAACTTAGGAAAACATAGCAGTTACCCTCATGCATGAGCTGGGAGGTGCTCAGATGACCTCAGTTCGGGGCTTTCTGCAGTTCTCTGGGTTTAGCTGTCCAAATCTGGGCAAAACACAACATCAGATGACCTCAGTTCAGGGATTTCTGCAGTTCTCTGGGTTTAGCTGTCCAAATCTGGGCAAAACACAACAAAGATGTGTCTACCTTTGAGGAGAGTGTGCTTCTCAGCCAAGGTCAACAGGAATAATGTGACAGAATATAATTAAAGAGCAAGTAACTTGTCACAGATGCAAATTCCATAAAAGTTCAAAGATGTGTGGGCTGGAGGGTGTTAGGGGAGGGGATGCGGTGTAGAATTCTTGGTGACAGACACAGGTGCGGCAGAGGAAGCACTATATCCTGGGACATTGTGACAGAGAGAGGGCTGGTGTGATAAAAATGGGTTTTGGGTTCTTGGGGCAGAATCCCAGGTTGGGTCAGTGAACTTTTGGGGTTAAGGAACGTGAAGACAAGTTAAAGGTAGGAAGTGGGGAGTCTGCATCAATGAGCAATGTGTTCCCGGGGTGTAGGAGCCTTTCCAGGGTCATTTTTGTCAGCAGTGCTGAGGTGCCCACGGGCTGAGCCCATGCCAGAGAAAGACAGAGCATCTACAGGCAGACACTGCCATTAGTGTGACGCTGAGTCCTCAGTCAAGGCACACCTCCGTGAGAGGCTTTTCCAGGGCCAGAGAGAGGGCTGGCCCAGGAAGAAAGACAGAGCTGACTCATGGTGGATGAGAAGAATCAGAGGACTAGCTTCTCCTGCAGACTTCACAACCCGGAGAGGTAACAAAGCTGCCAAAAGCTGGCAGAAGTGGGTTCCTTGCAGAGCACACCTGTGAAACTGAAGTTTGCTTTCCCTTCTTTCTGCAGGAGTCCTCCATGTTGCTGGTAGGACGGGGTGCGGTGGACATGTTTGCATTGGAGGTAAGCTAAAAGTCCAAAGAGATAACTAGAAAACACACCTGTGAATCCCAACATGGGAAAGGACCATGAAATACCTCTACAATTAAGTCATTGCACACACCAGCCAGGTCACCCAAGCTCTCTCAACTAGAGACTGGGGTAAAGGGTATGTCCCAGCAAACCACACACATATATGTGGTCCTTATGGGAATTGCTTCATTTTAAAGTTTTGTGTTTCTGATTTTAATTGACACATAACTGTGCAGGCTTATGGGACACAGAACACCATTTTAATACATACATCAATGTGAAGTGAGCAGTTGAGGTCGTTTCACACTTTCTTCATATCAAACATTTTTTGGTTACTTTCTAGTTAGAACATATGCAGTTTTTTTTCATAAGAAACTCCTTTGAAAAACATAACCAACTATTACAAAGTATGATCAGCCTACAGTAAACACAACACATGGAATTGTTTTTGCTCCATATGCATTGACCAACTTCTCCCCATGCCCACTCAGACTCTGGTAACCACTACACCTATAAGATTGGCAGTTTTAGATTCCACAAATACGTGAGATTGTGCAGTGTTTTGTATTTGTGTTCTTGTCTTTATTTCACTTACCATGACTATCTCCAGGTGAGAGTGTGTTTTTTTGTTTGTTTGTTTTTAGGGCGGAATAGTATACAGCCATGAATGTATTCCACACTTTCTTTATCCACCCATACCTTGTTTATTGTTACAATATTGTACTATATATGGCATAAGTGAATTATAAGACAAACATAAAAGGATGTCCTTCTCTTCATTCTCACTGCCACTGACTGTGTTGGGCATCCGTTCTCATTAGCAGCAGCAATCCGATCTCCCCCACTCTTTAGAAGTTGGGCACACACACTCTCACTGTGCAGCATTAATAAAGAGATAATGGCTACAGAACAAATTCCCTTCTGCCCCAGGAGTTGAAGAGGAGACAAATTCTAGGGCTTATAAAACCCACACTGGTGTCCACTATATACTACAACCAGGTCTTAAGGAGAAATACACTTAGTCATGTCATAGGGGACAGATTTGAACAGAGGACAATTGGCCCAAGGACAAAGCCACCTCAGCAGAGTCTTTGGACATTTCATTCAGGGACAGCTTCTCCCAGGCACTGGCATGGGACCACAGGACTCAGTGTTCCCAGATGCATGCTTTAAAATAGGTGCTTTTCCTTGAGATTCAGAGGGCTTTTCCATCTGGAAAAAAACAAAAACAAAAACAAAAACAAAAACCTCCAAACTCATCTCTGATGGTTGAAATTATTTAGAGAGAAGCATGAGCCATCTTGACTGTGAACTCAACAAGCTGTCTGTAACAGATGGTTTCATCACCCTTTACCAAAATACAGGGGAAACAGAGTTAAAGCTGCACTGGCTTGCTTCACTCCTGGCTAGCTTTGCCAGAACAGCCCATGATCTGGATACAGGGCATATGTTGCAGAGGTGGGTCATAGACCCCAGGTGAGGACTCTAAATTGCTCTCTTATTTTCTATGGCCTCATATTTTGTGGCTTCTACCTACTACTGGGAATCCCAGGCCTTACCCAAGTTCACCTACAGGCTAAAGCAGGATAAACTCTTGCACTGTGGGCTGAGGTCACTGGGGCTGATGGACTATGTCTGCAACCTAGAGAAGACTTGCTGCCCTTCCCACTCCTCACGGGTCATGGCACCATCTGTTTAGAGTTGGTGTGCCAGGTGATGTGGAGTATATATGTGAAGAACTGTGAGGAGGGCCTTGGATCCACCAAACATAGGAGGGTATGAGGATGTCAGGAGAGGAAAGGGGCATCCTTGGTAATGATGCTGAGATTACAGGTGTCAATTCAGGCAGACAGGACTTTAGTTACTCTCAACATTGATATTAACTATCGCTGTGTCTGTATATCACCATCCTAGTCATTGCTGCCATAATCCCCATGATCATCATAGTCACCATCAACATCACAATCATTGTCATCATAGTCACCATCATCATCATCATCATCATCACCACCACAGTTATCATCACCATTACCATCATAGTCAGTGCCATCATGGTCACCATTGCCATCATCGTCATCCCAGTATCACCATCATCATCACCATCACCATTGAAGTCATTAACATCATAGTATCATTATCATCATCACTGTCATCATCACCACCATCATCATCATCATAGTCATCATTACGAGAATCGAACCTTCATAATTGCTATCCCCATCACAATCGCCGTCATCATCATCGTCATTGTTACCATCATCATCACTGACACCATCATCATCACCGTCATAATTACCATCACCATCACAGTCATCATCACCATTAGAGTTATTATCTTCATGACCTTCACCACCATCTACACCATCACAATCACCATCATTCCTGAAAAAGAGAAACAAAAAAGGAACGGACATCACTGTTCCTAGGTATGGTGGGAGAAGAAGGTTTATTGTAGATAAAAGGGAGAGTGTAGGCAGAGACAGAGACATCTGGGAGAGTCCAGAGTGGACATGACCCTGAGCTGGGCCATGTGGGGGAGGGGGAGGGGAGTGTGGAGAGGGGAGGAAGGGTTGAGCCAGACCAAGAGGCCAGGAAAGTAAAGAGGTAAAAAGATCAAGTAACCAAAATAGTTGGGTTATCTAGGGAAAGGCAGCTGACGGAAGGGCAGCCCAGCCCCTGGGCTGGAAAATTCAGGCTAGTGGGTTGGGTACTACACCCTGTAACAGGTAGGGACTGAGGGATGCTGGGAGAACCTGGCAGCCAGGTCCACTTTGATATGTTAAATAGGTACTTAAGCCTTTTGTCCTGGGATTAAGACCTAGCAATCCCTAGTGTCATTATCATAATTATTATCATCACTTGCCCTTGGAGACTTGGAGTTAGCGCCTTTGATACATTCATCTTACTTTCCCAATTAAAAGTGTTCTTGTGCAAACTACAAGCACTGCCAATAGAGGAAAACATTACCCAGGTTTGCACCCACCCACGGCAAGTCCCTGAGAGAACACGCTAGGGCCTAAGAATGGCTTTCACAGTGGTGAGTATGTGAACACAGGCTGTTTAATGCACGCCCCAACCCCGGGATCAGAGTCTTCTCACCATGAGTATTGTTCTGGTCTGAAATTGTGTGGAAAACACCAGACTTTGCCAATTGGTTGATTCAGCAGACAGTTTTTAGATGCCTCTTGTATTCTAGGTGTTCTTGTGATTTTCTACTCTAGGTGATGGAGAAGGATATCACAGAGGTAAATAGACAAAGAAGGAAGCTAGTACTTTGCTGTTTTAGATGCTGGTGCAAGGGGTTGGTGGGATGGCTCAGTGGTTAAGAACATACACTGCTCTTGTGGGTAATCAGAGTCCAGTTCCCAGTATCTAGTGGGGATCTGATGCCCTAGGCCTCTGTGGGAATCTGTACCCAGGTGAGCATACCCATATACAGACATATACACATACACATCATGAGTAATGATAAATTATTGGGGACAGTGAGATTCTTCAGTTTGTTTTCTGTCTGCCAAGTCAGGTTGCCCATACATTTCCTAAGCTGACTACTGAGTCAGCAAACATGTACAGACTAGCTATGTATGCTCAGTAATGGAAATGAACAAGTGTAGTCACTTAAATAAGAGTTCTAGAAGATTTGAGGTGGAGTGAGGAGGAAGAAATGAAAGTGCATGAACTTTTGAATGTCCCCAGGGTCTCTATCAGTCCCTACTCTGCTCTTCTCCATGACCCTGTGGGATCAGGACAGACACTGTCCCCACTTTGCTCCTAGGGGCTGTGCCTTGCCCAGATCACAACCCTGGAAAATCTCCCAACTGGTCCTGGTCCTTGGCTCTGTGAGGCCCACACTCATGCCCTGGCTTTCCCACCCGCCCATTTCCAATGGTGTGAAGAATGGGGAGAAAAAAGGGCATTGTGGGGAGGGAAGGAGAGGTGAAACGGCCATGAGGTCGATTGCACAAACTGAATCCGATTTTCAAGACTGTCTATGTAACCCCAAACCACCAGTCAATTTATGTGTTTTGAGCAGCTGGCTGTGGCCTGGGAAAAGCAGTCACTAAACTTCCTGTCTGGTGCTGAGAACTCCAAGCCACCCAAAGCTCAGAGTTTTCTTCGGTTCATAGATCTGAGCAGATGCTAGGATGATGAGGCTCTAGGCTGGAGCACGTGGGGGGGGGACCACATTTTCTGTGTGGAGCAAAGGCATGAGCTCTGTTTATTCCAAGTTTGCCTGTGGTTATAGAAACAGGTACTTTAAAAGGCAAAGCAAACTCACACTGCCAAAACCTTGAAGCCAGGGTATTGCAAAAACACATCATATTAAAATACTGAACAGAAAGTTCTCATTCTCATCAAACCTCTGAGACTGGTGCCACGGTATTCCCTCTGCCCACACAGGCACTGGCACTGCACCTGCTTATGTGCTAAGCAACCCCTCCACCAATCGTATTGAGGCTTTTGTGCTCACCCTAGAAGGGTTACTGCAGAGACCACATGTCCTTCCTTGTGGCCCTAGAGTGGCTTCCAGGTTTGTTCAAAGTCACCGATGACAGACGGATATTAGACCGGACCTCTTACATCCACCTATTAAAATCAGTCTTCATGATTGTGGTTCTTCTGTAAAAGTTTAAAAATTAGAAAAGTAAAGCCGCGAGATGGAAACCAGCACAATGGACCGTGAACTATAGAGAGCACATTAAGAAGTTTATTACAGGGCAGGAGAGCCAGAGCATAAGAGACGAGGGAGAGAGAGAGAGAGAAACAGAGAGAGAGAGAGAGAGAGGAGCCAAGAAGGAGACACAGGTAAGAGGGAGTAAGAGAAGAGTTAGTTGGGCTCCCCTGTTGTCATGCATCCAGAAAAGGGGAGTCCAGGCTTTCCGAATTTAATATATACACATACACGCGTGCGCGCGCGCGCACACACACACACACACACACACACACACACACACACACACACACACCTTATCTCCTGAGATAAGCCTAGGAAACAGTCTGGAAGTACACAGGTCCAGCAGGGAAGGGCAGGTGGGAGCAGGGCTGGTGACACCATCAGTGTCATCCTCAGTGGTGACACTATCAGGCCTCGAGAGCTGATCTCCAAGCTCAGTTGAGAGCTTCTGCTAGCTCACTGCATTTTTTTAAAGCCACGTGTACTTAAGGTGATACAAATATCCTAATACCACAGATTCAGCTGACTGCCCACTGAGAATCAGGGAGTCCCGTGAGAACTGAAGAGAGAGAAAATGTCATAACTGAGACCCAACAATGACCAAACATAGGTGCTGTCATACATCAGAGCCACATGTCCTTGATTCAGATTGGAGGGCACATCTAGATATTAGTGTGGTGGTCAGAACTGGCCACTGGGGACTCAAGCACTACAGAAGCTCCAGGGTGGTGGTACCTTCTGAGGAGAGGGAGGTGGCCTACAAGGGATGCTCCTTCATTGTGGAGATGGTGAAGACAGAAGAGAAAACTGTGGTGAATATGAGGAGCCACAGGAAGTAAGGAAGGGAGGATGACATCCACCACCTCCCAGTACACTACAGGCCACAGAACCACAGCTGATGAGGCTACCTGATGGGGAATGTCCTTCTGTGTATGTTTAACTTATTGGTTGTTGAATAAAGTACTGTTGGCCGATGAAGAAGCAAGTTAGGCGGGAATAGGAGTCAAGGAAGATTCTAGAAAGTGTAGTAAAAGGAAGTCTTGTGATACAGGCAGGAAGTGACATAGCAGGCAGACTCATATATAAGCACGGGCAAGAAGGAAGCCATTCCTTTTTCTCTTCCTCCTCTGCTCCGGAGCCACCATGTGATCCCGGCAAGAGAAGATGCCATCAGCTGACATCTGATAAGTCTTTATGGTTGATACTTAAGACTGAGCTAGAAAGTAAGAAATCGTAGTCAGTTGGCCGAGCAGCATTTGCACCTAATATAAGTCTCTGTGTGTTACTTAGGACTTAATGTGGCAGCGAGCAGAACTCCGGCAGCCTGGCAGAAAGCACCCACATGGCAGCAGGGCTCGGGTGGCTGTGGTGTAAAGACTTATTGTAACAGCTACCCCTCCCCAGTACACTATAGGCCACAGAACCAGAGCTGGTGAGGCTGCCCCTCCCCAGTACACTACAGGCCACAGAACTACAGCTGATGAGGGGAACCCCTCCCCAAATGCTTGTAAAAGCAGTTTAGAATCCCCCCACTTGTTGGCAGAGCCATGAATGCTTCCTTCTGTGGATATATACATGGCTAAAGACTACACTGGGGAACAAATGGAGGTTCTACTGTTAAGGATTCAGGTTTCCATTTGATTTCAATTCTCATCAGTGACTTCCTGCGTGTCTGAGGCACCCAAGACCTCAGAATTTCCATCTTCCAGGTCAGAGGTATGGGCCTACGCTTGGTAGGTGAAGGGAGTTGGGGGTCTTTCCACAATTCCCCTCTATTTTCCCATCACCACTCCATGGTGCAGAGCTTCTTGGGGACTCTGCAGAACAGTGAATGCTACTCTAGGTTCCTTTAGACCAAGTCTCTCTCATCTGTCCTCTGTCATCCCAGAGTGCAGTGACACTGAAATTTCATGGTCTTCCAATGTTTTTGTTTGTTTGCTTTGCTTGTTTTTAATTATACCTTTTCTTGTTAATTTACTGAAATTTTGGTATAATTTGGATAGGAGAAGAGTGGGTGATCCACCATGCTTGACAGGTGGTCTAGGGAGAGTTGACATAGCCACTGAGTGGGTGAACTTAGAGGAGAGGCTCCATGTCTAAGGAATGGAGGTGGCTTTGAGTCTTCAGAACTTTGTGTCTCCTTTCCCCATGTCTCTTTCCTGTGATAAGCCCTCCAAATCCAAGCCCACATGTCACTCCCTAAATCCTACAGCAGGACCCAGCTAGACTGCAGTTACAAACAACCCCTACACATCAGAGGCTTACACAGTAGGGACTTGCCTCTCACTGCTGTTGCATGTCCACTGTGGTCAGAATTGGTCTTGTCTGCACTCATTTCTCAGGATCTGGGCTGAGGTCATGCCTGTCCCCATCACCATACTAAGGCAGGTCACTAGCTCATCCCAGCTTAGGTGGGAGAAGGGAGGTGTGGCTATAACTGTGTCCCAGAGAGATCTTTCCTAAACAGTTCTTAGGAGCACCCTACCCATAATGCCCTGAGGCAGAATTAGCAGCTGTAAGAGGTCTTTGTCCTGGTGCCCTCTTATCACCTTCATATATGGAACTCTACTTTTTTCCCCTTTGTTATAGAAAGATGTTTAATAATAACGTCAAAATAGCAAGTCTTGCTTACAAACTCAGCATACGTGACCTTTGGGTATCCCCTTACCCCAACCCAGCTATAAATAAGTACTTTCTGACATCTCACAGACAAGATTATAATTTTGGCCAATGGTCAACATATATTTTTTA